ATATGTATCACCAGAAGTGATCTGAATTGTATTCCATCTAAAAATAAATGACCTAGTATCAGTCTGTGCTAGTTAAACACAGAATGATATTGACATCAAAAGGTATCTATAGAGAGATTAGCATCTTGTGTTTACTGAAGTATTTAGCTGAAAAAATCATTCAATTGTTAAAAAATGTTTAGAAATGGTAATTTAAATGAGTGCAACATTTATTCTGATTGGAACTTTGAGGGATTTTATTTTAGTTTTAATACATATCTCTTCACAGTTTCCCCTTTGGAAACACAGAAATGCTCAACAGTTTGAGCTCTTTTTCTGGGGAAAAAAATGAAATCAATTTAGGGGAAAAAAAATCAAAGTGTATGTGCTTGGTGGGGAATTTGCCCTTCAAAACTTGAACATTATTTCCAGCCCCAACACACCGGGACAGATATAAAAACCACCACTGGTTCCTTTTCAAAGAGAATGCATTTATTACATTGCAGAATGCATTTATTACACCATAAGTACCATTTTGGTTGTAGGGCCATGTTTACATGTACACTCTGATGTGACTTAAGTCTCCTCTGTGTACTCTATGTATCCCAAGCCCTCACACAGCTCGTTGGAAGGTGCACCTCCCTCCACAGAGGGTGGCACAGCTCCACCGTGAACAAGCCATCAGAGCATCATGGAATGGGTCAGCATGGAAGGGACCACAGGGCTCATCTGCTCTGATCTCCCTGCTCAAGCAGGACAATCCCAGAGCACAGGGCACAGGGATGTGTCCAGACCCTTCTGGAATATCCCCAGTGAGGGAGACTCCACAGCCTCTCTGGACAATCTGTTCCAGTGCTTGGCCACCGCACAGGAAATTCTTCCTCATGTTCAGGTGGAATTTCCTGGGCATCAGTTTCTGCCCTTTGCCTCTTGTCTTACTGGGTGGCATCACTGAGCAGAGCCTGATCCATCCTCTGACACCCGCCCTTTAGATACTTACACACACATACATATGCGTACGTAGGGTATATATGCTCCATACGTGTATACCGTGTATATAGTGCATATATATATATAGTAGGGCTAGAGTGGAACAGGACACCCCACCACGAAGCAGTGCCCGCCCTCACGCCGTGCCCGGCAGCACCGACCCTGTGCGGGGAGCGGGTGCTCGGCACCGCCGGCCCTGCCTGCGGCGGCACCCGGAGCACGGGGCCGCATCGCCGGCCACGGGTCACCGGCCTCGCCCTCCCCTCGCTGCCCGGGGGGCCGCTGTTCCCCGCCCCGGCTCCCGGCCCGCTCCCTCCCGGCTCTGTCCGCACTCACTGCCCATGGCGGTGGCGGCCCGGCCGCGGTCCCAGCGCTGTCACCGTCGCTGTCGCCGCCGTCACGTGACGCGCGCTGCGGACGGGCCGTCCCTCCCCGCCCGGGGGGACACGGCGGTACCGCCCTCACGGAGCGCCCCCCGCGCCCTTCCCCAGGCGAGGGGAGCCGGATGGGCGGGATCGGCGCGGAGCGGTGGCCGCCGCGGCGGGATCAGGCTGAGGGCGGGCAGCCGCCGCGGCGAAGGACCGCGCTCCCGGAGTGCTCCGCGCGGCGCGAGGGGCGGGCGCGGCCCCTCAGAGCCGCTCCTCAGCCCGGCCCGAGCGGGAAAGCGCCCGCCCCTCACTCGCTCCGCCTGCGGGGCTTCGGCCGCTCCGTGGTGCTGGTGCAGCAGTACCAGGTGGAAAGCACGGGCTGAGCGGTTCGGTACCGAAGTGTTTTGTTAACAGCCCAATCCAAATCCCGTGTTGACAGATGGGTGTGATAATTTCAGGGGGCGAAAGGACATTGGGGCGTTGGAGCGTGTCCAAAGAAGGGCAACAGAGCTGGGAAAGGGTCTGAAGCACAAGTCCCATGAGGATCAGCTGAGGGAGCTGGGCTTGTTCATCCTGGAGAAAAGGAGGCTTGGGCTGCCTTTGTCACTCTCTACAAGTCCCTGACGGGAGGATGAAGCCATGTGCGGTCGGGCTCTGCTCCTGAGCCGCAGGGGGAGAGGACATGGCCTCAAGGTGCACCAGGCGAGGTTTAAGTTGGGCATTGCAGGAATTTCTTCACAGAAGGGGTGATTAGACATTGCAATGTGCTGCCCAGGGAGCTGGTGGAGTCACTGTCCCTGTGGGTGTTAAAGGAAAGCCTGGATGTGGCACTCAGTGCCATGGCCTGGTGGTGCTCAGTCATAGGTTGGACTCAATGGTTTTGGAGGTCTTTTCCAATCTAATTGATTTTGTGATTCTGTGATTGTCTGAAGTGAACCTGAAAACCTATTCCAATATCATCTCTCAACCACCAAAATAGGTATCACACCTACAGAGCTCTCAGTTACAACAGCCAGTGGTATATAAAATTAGGATCATCAGAATTTACTGCAAGATTTAGATATGACCATTAAAAATAGTATTTATTCTTCCTGAATAACTGATCTGATGTACAAGCTTGAATTCTTCCTGTATTAGACTAAGTTACCAAAAGAAAACACAAAATGTGTGAGGCATGAGGGCTGCTCCAAAACCTTTGAACCAATATTTTGGATTGCACTCTGCATTCCCTAAGAAATCCTCTTAACTAAGACCTTGCTACAATACCTAAATGACTTTGTTCAATAGCTTCCCTTATCTGAAATCACTTAGAAAAGTTTTTTCTCCTGGTTTTATATACTCATAACTTAACAAATACTAATGAGCAACTCCATAGCAATTACTTTCACCTAGAGTTCTTGTACAGTCTGACAAATACTCATAATTAATGTGCCTGGCAGTGTACTTGTAGATCATAATCTCCAAATAATAGCTGGGTCGGTAGCTAAGCTTCAGGAAGTTTCTTGTTATCACCCTTTGTTCAGATTTTTAGCCATACTTGTTTGAGTTCATTAAATTACAGGTTTAGTTAGCAAATCCTTCTCTCTCTAAGTCATTGGCCACTGTTTTGTGATTGATAAAAGGTTCAGGAGGTTTCTTCAGTCCATACCAACACAGATACACCACTTTCAGGTGTGCTGAACAAATGTTTATCACCTTCCTCACTGACAGAAGCAAAAAAATTAAAATGCAGTATTGTTTTCTTTGCTTATTAAAAATACAACTGTGTTTAGAACTTTTAATCTTCAAAGTTCAGACTGTATTTTTTAAATCTAAAATAACATCACTGGTATAAAAATACTTGTTTTAATGTTTTCCTGGTGTGTTTTCTTTCTGAGAGCTTTTGCTGCCTTTAATGAACTGCTCAATCTAGGAGCACATTCCTTCACGTCATTATTTTTTTTCCTACTAGTCTTGCACTTCTCTCTGAAAATCCTGACACACCACAATGCACAAATGCTGTAATTCTCTCTCTCTAGTTAGCTCCTTGCTACCTAACAGCACATAAAGGCTCACCTCCTTGTGTTAATGTCCAAGGCCGGGGACACTCTGTTACCCACTCACTCAGCCTGTGTGGCAGCTCAGGCACATGGTGTGGCTCTTGGGGTGTCCTGTGCAGGGCCAGCGCTGGACTCAATCCTTGTGGGTCCCTTCAAACTCAGGATATCCTATGGTTCTGATCTAATTTCTGCTTCTCTTTTCCCCAAAGCAAAAGCAACCCAGCACTGTGCAGGGTGTCCCAGCCGGCATGCAGAGAAGAGCAAGGCACACAGATGGAATGTGTGCATCCAGAATTGCTGGGAGAAACAGTGTGAGCCCCTCAGTCAGCACACGCTTTGCCTTGCTCCTGGGAGCTGTTATCCATCACGCAAGAGCAGTGTTCTGCAGGCAGTCTGTGTCAGCTGAACGAGCAAAGCTGTGCTCAAGCTCTCCCTCCGTACCCCAGGATCCCTGGGGAGCTCCGTGGCACACCGATGGCGCTGGGGGCATTGAGCCAAGCAGCGCTACAGAAATAGCTTTGTCTCCCACCAGGAGGATCAAACAGGGACAGAACACTTGAGCATCCTTTATCTGTTGGATAACCAGACCTGCACAGCCTGTGGGGGAATGGTGTGTAGCAAGGTCAGGTTTGGGCCACGTGAAACTCAAAACATGGGGTCTGTTCTTCCCTTGTGTGCACTAAAACTGTGGGTTTATGTAATCATCGGTGTGCGGTCAAGGCTGGTGATTGCGCTCTACAACTTCCTTGGCTACAGCTGCAGCCAAAGCAACGTTACTCTTCAGCCTCCTTTTTCTAGTTATCAGCAGAAATTTAAAGCAGAATATGCCTTGATTAGATAAAGCTGTTCAGGATGTGCAGGAGGTTGTGCAGTTTGCCGGAGCAAAGCAGGAGAAACATGACTTCATGTGGCTGTGATGGATGAACTAAAGCAGTGATGTGAAACATCACAAAACAGAGGTAACTTCTGGATCACATGGAGTTAATTAATGAGTATGTCAATTAACTAGGATGAAATACTAAAGAAGGCTTCAGAGATGATTTTGGGAGCTGTCTCCCCAAGTGAACACACACCCTGCCTGTGATCTGCTTTTTCTCACCTACCATGACTTTCCATCTGCAAGTGCTAGGTCTGGTTAAACCCCACTTGTTTCTTTTCAAAAATGTCTCTGGCTCACAGTGAGTTTGCACAGGTAACTGAGAAAAGCAAGGAGGTGCCAACCTCACCCTGAAACCAGGAAAGGAAAAATGCTGGGAGAAATCCTGTGGTGGTGGGAATGCTGCTGTGGGGCAGTCAACACTGGGATCAGCCTGGGATGCCTGTTCCACTTGATTTCAATAGTCTCTCACTTAACCTCAGTGTTTTGGTCTTTTATCCTTTGTTTCTCAATGAAGACTGATTTCTTTCCTTTCTCCCGATGACAGCTGTGCTGAAACCATTCCTTAGGATTTCTCACCCACTGGGTGGGAAAAACAGTGGTGCCTGAAGCCTTCAGGAGCCATCCTGCATGGTGCTTCCAACGGAAATCCTGTTTTAACAACTCATACACTAAGAGCACCAACAGCCACAACAGATTGCATTCCTGGTCCTCAAGGAAAGAAAAAAGAGATAATCCACGACATTCTGCTATAGAAATGGCTCATTCCCAGGCATGGGGAAGCATTTATTTGATCAAGCAGTACTAACACTTCTGTAGGAAGAGAAGAAACAGAACCTGTTTCCACACATGCACCATCCCAGGAAACTGTCAAGTGCAAATAAGCAGCAAGATAAGGTGTTCCACAGACACCTCACCAATCTGTCCCCTGGACTGGATTTTTAACTTTATAAAGACATTTTGTAGAAAACTGTATAAGAGAAAAAGAAGTATCAGGAGTAACAGGCACTTCTCATTGTTAGGCATTCCCCAACATGAAAAAATTGCTTCATCATTACCAAACTTATTCCACCATTTATTTTTTTTTTCCATTTTGGAGAACTAAGAGTCTTCAGGATCTGGCTTTTGTTCTTCACAGGAGGAGGCACTGAACATGACTGACATCAGGAGCAGTCCATCCATTGAAAACTTAGATAAATGTGTGGGTCAGAACATCTTCCTGCTGCTTGTTGTGGAGGGTTCCAATGCCGACTGCTGGGGCTGGTAGAGGAGGTCTGCTCACAAGACGGAGCTGAAATTGGAGTTGTGGGGAAATGATTAATGAAGGACAGAATCACATCTCGAGGTCCTGATGCCACAGTGATATCTGCTGTCAGGTAACTGGGCAGTCCCAGCTGGAAGTAATGCAGGAAGTTATCCCTCATCTCCTAAAGACCATGGCTCCAACCACTTTATAGTGCATGATCTGCCAGAGCAAATGGCACCTTTGCATTCTCCTCCTACTTGGGATCTTTCATTACCCTGTCTACTTTGACTGAACACCACGTAAAATAAAGCTCCAGTCCTGCTCTTCACCAATAGTGCTATAAAGAGCAGAAGCAGCTGAAATTAGAACACACATTTGGTTTAGGAATCAAGATTAGGTTTTTTGTTAAGCACCATAAAATTTTGCGTCCAAGGAGAATTTCTAACTTCATTTTAAAGACTAAAACACCCTGGGGACATCCTACCTTAAGCCCCAGCTGCTTTTCAAACCGTGGAGACACAAAGGACCATGGACCCATGTTCTGTGGTTCTTCCTGACTCCAGATGAAGACTAAAGGAAGGATAAGGGTACATAACAAACATGCATATTTATCTTTTCAGCAGAGAAAGAAAACCAGTTTTTTGTTTTTGTAGCACCTCTAGTTTTTTTGTCTTGGCACTACCTTTGAAATGAAGGCATGCCACACTTAATTCCCTTGCAGCTCAGAACTGAATTCAAACCCAAAGTATGTCTATCATTAGGGTATACTGTGTGTATATTCTGTTTTTCCAGTGCTGTTTTCAAAAGCTACTAAAATAACTGGACTGCAAAGACCAACACAAAAAATATCTCAAATGGTTTGCTCTGATTTTCAGTGCTGCTTCTTGGAAGCTAACAATAGCAGAGAAAAGAGTTCTTTTCACACAAGTGATAAACATTTCTGAAACATCCCACTCCAGAAACGCTTAGATGTACAAGGGGGAGAACAAAGAGGAAAAAGCCACTACAGCTCTTCATCTTAAAAGGCAACAGATTTAGTTCAGCACTTCAAAGAGACTAGAAACACAAAGGTAGAAGCTTGGCTGACCTTTTGCATGGCTGTAGTTGCTCAGCTCTTGCTGTAGAGCTTCCAGGGGGAAAGGACAGAGCTCTTCAAGTCTCAGAATAGCTGTGCTGTGTTTCTCAGTTCCCAGTGTTTCTCTTTGCTTCACTAGAGCATAGTAATGCTTTCCAGAACACAGCACCACTTGGGTGACACTAAAGAAAATAAAAAAGAATGTTTCCAAGTTTAGTGTTTTACAGAAACTTGATACAGGAGAGCTTCACACTTCTAACCAAAAAAACCAGTCAAACTTCAAAGACAACTTCATAGAGCTAAATTGCTTCCCTATACTGTCTTTTCTCTTCCTTGCCTTCCCTTCCCTCCCACTCCCCTCCAACAGCTGGCAAACTAACCTTTGAGCACAGTATGCCAGAGGTCCTGTTTCTTCAGTAATTTTGGGAAAGTTACCTTACAGTGGGATTGATCTCTCTTAGCTCTATTAAAAATTAAACACCCAGTCAAAGCTAGTCATCTCTGCACTCTCTGTAGAAAATACCAGAGGGAGAAAAGTCCCTCCAGAGGACAATTCTCTGCCATGCCAAAGCAGGACTGCCTGCTGGAGACACTACACCCTCCTGCAATCACAGAGGTCTTGGCTGCCTAATCTTACTGGAAAAAGCAATGGGATAAACTACATCCTTTGTGCCTCACTATCCCACTTAAAAAACCCAGGATGCTAAGGTACTTCCAGCCTTTTGATGGGGGTCAGGAAGTGAAGAGGAAGGAGGTTCAGTCTTGGGTACTACTGGGGCAAGCAGCAGATAAGGGGAAAAAATATTAAGGTTGAATTGGTCATTGTGAACAGGATTCACTGTAACATCTGAAAGTAGACAGATGTACACACACTTTGTTATTGTCCCATCTCATCAGCTCAGGTGTTCCAGCCCCAGAACAAAAATTCTGGATTCAGTTTTGGGCCAATCATGATGAGAAAGACATTGAGGAGCTGGAGCCCATCCAGCGAAGGGAATGGAGCTGGTGAAGGGTCTGGAGCACAAGTCCTGTGAGAAGCAGCTGAGGGGCCTCAGCCTGGGGAAAAGGAAGCTCAGGAGGTGTCTTTTCACTCTCTACAACTCCCTGACAGGTCATAGCCAGGTGGGAGTTTGTCTCTTCTCTCAGGTAAAACACAATAAGACAAGAGGAATCAGCTTCAAGTTGCATCAGAGGAGGTTTAGATTGGATATTAGGAAAAATTTCTTCACTGAAAGGGTCAAGCACTTGAACAGGCCTCCCAGGGCAGTGGTGGAGTCACCATCTTGGACATTTAAATGTCTAGATGTGACACTTGGGACATGGGTTAGTGGTGGACTTGGCAGTACTGGGCTAAGATTGGACTTGATGATCTAAAGGATCTTTTCCAACCTAAACAAATCTGTGATTCCATGATTCATGCTAATGGACATGGTGCAGAATAGGCCCCATCAGGTTGGTAACTACAACCACAACTACAACTTGGCCCTGTGAGGCCAAGGGGTGACAGCCTAAACACTTCACTGCTTTGCAGACAGATGTGGTAACTACCAACAGTTACCAGAGGAAAGGGAGAGGAAGTAAAACTAACCACAGTCGTCTACCATAAAACATTTTCCCCTCAAAGTCTCCTCTTTCATACCACCTCAAATTTGAGCTGTTGGGTAGGAGAAAGGGACAGGACATCTCTTTTGAGCTTCTCCTCTAAGAAAGCAGAGCTACCTTTTAGGATTTACTGAGGAGTCACCAATGACAGGCTTGAATGTTGTCCCTGGGGCCATTTCTTCAAAACTTGATACAGCAGCCTACATGGGGAAAGAGTTGGAAGTTACCAAATCTTGCTGCTTTTCCCTCAGGCCAGAGTCAGAAAGAATACTGAGACAGGGTTTGGTAAGTACAAAATACACAGTTTTCCCTCTCCCTCATATTCCTATTCCCAGTGAAAAGTGAGATGATAAGCTTCCCAAGAACACCATCAGGCCAGGAATGAACCCTACTTCTAGCTCACCTCCACCCAGCTTTAATCCTCAACCTGTTTGGCCCCAAAAAGGCAAAATTCCACTGTCTTGACCCCAAAACAGCAATCAGAGAACACAGAAGGAAAAAAAAAAAAAAAGGGAAAAGAGCACAAAAGAGGATAAAGAGAGAAAAAAATAAAGAGGAAGGACATTTTTCAGCTTACTGGAAGCCTGAGTAACACTTTGGGAGAAGCAACAATGAGAGGTTTCCTGAAGTTTCGGACCATTTGCCTCCGGAGTAAATGGAAATACTGTGCAGGGGTGGTGGGATGCACAACTGACATGTTGACCTGGTCACCATCAACACCCTCTTCTGAGCTGTCACACATCTGTCCAGGGGGAACACAGCAATACCTTGTCAAATGCAAGCAGTGAGACTAATATGCAAGAAAGAATCCAGGCACACGAGGCACACTGACCTGTACAGGAACAGATTAGTAAATATCCAAATTCAAGAGAGGAACAACTTCAAAGAAATGGGTTTAGCATTTAACTGGTAAGATTGTGTCTGAACTGCCTCCTTGGAGCACACTGCAGCCGAGGTCCCAGAGCATCGACTGCCAGTGCTGTGCTGGGGATGCTGACCCTGGGAGGTGTGTTGGTACCTGTAGGAACCGTTCCATCCGGCAGGACGAGTGCTCAGGGCCTGCACCATCATAGCCATGGGGAAGAAGAATTACTATCCCACTCTGCAGAAGCCATTTAGCCTCACCTAGAAACACAGAATGAGGAGGAAGCAAAGGATGATTTCCACAGAATATAAAGCCACAGAACATATTACTTTGCACAAACTGCTCAGGAAAAAGAGTAACCAATTTCCACATCATTAAATACAAGCCTGAAACATGCTGCTGGCATTCTGCCCCGAGATTCATTACAGTGAAATAACACATGTAAGGTGATCTGAAGTTTCTGAAATCATCAGGTAGCTCTGGGCTTCCAAAAGACTTAAGTCTCCACATGGAGCACATGACACAGTGAAATTTTAAAGCTTCATCTCTGCAGGTGTGATCCCAGCAGCATCCTGTGAGCCAGTTCTGTTTAACACAGCAGTGCTTGCTCTCCTGAGCTCTGCCAAACCTCCTGCACTATACAAGAGATTACAATCAAATCCAGAATTTGGGTGGGAGAAGAGGGCCTGTGAATTTCCATCTATGACGACAGAGGTTTTATATCTGAGCACTCAGAAAACATGTTAGAGTCAAACTTAGTAAGGTGTTGTGGGGTTTTTTGTTTGTTTCTTTTAAATAATCGCTATTTTCCTTCTCTATTGCTTCAGGAATTTTTTGGATGCTTCACAGAGGAAAGGTACAGCCTACAAAGCTACCAACCATATATACACACAGTAAAATACATGTGGGGGAAGAAAGGCTGTTAGTATAATTAATTGTCCTTTTGTAATGACTGTACTCTGCCAAGGAGTCTTTCATTTTAGATGTACTGTCCTTAGAGAAAAGCTGCACAGAAGTCAGGACCTCACAGGCAAGCTCATAGGAATCCTTGAGAAAACAGAATTCTTTGCACAACATGTTGTCCTTTTACTTGAAAGAGGAAGGATTTTCTAAAAATGTGAATAATACAAATGATTAATTCTTAAATATATTAGTTCCTTGTACACTCACCTCCAGAGATGAAAGTGTCAAATATTATCTGGGCTCCATTAAAGAAGTCTCCAAACTGAGCTTCCCAAATTGGCAGTAACTTAGGGCTCTCAATACTCATTCCATATTCAAAACCAAGCACAGCTTCTTCAGACAAGGGACTGTTACTCACCTAACAAAAGGAAATTGTTGGGGTGGGGCGGGGGATGAGGAAGAAGACAACCAAGGGTTAAGAAGCATTGGAACCAGATAAAAATTGCTGACAACACACACTCCTAAAGGCAATTGATAGGCACTGATTTTTTGCATTTGAATGAAGGCACTGAGAGGAAAAGAGTAACATTTGATCTCTCAAGGAAAAGCAAATCCCCTTGTTAAAGCTCTAATTTCTAACGACAAAGAATAGGGATGCCCTGACAGTTTTTATGTCCCTGTATCCAGGTTTTGCCAGAACATACACTAGGCCTTACATATGTCTCAGCAGCTTTAAAAAATGCATTGTTTCAGCACAATATGAAGAAGGTGGTCTTGTGGGCTACAGAACCTACCTCTAGGAAACCCTTCTGGTCTGGGGACATGTGATTCAGAGGAATGTAGGTATCATCTGTCTCTTGGCAAACCAACATCGCGTGTCGTTGGCTGAAGGTTCCTCTGCCAACATCTTGTCCACTTAGTCTGATATTAAACCCTTGCCAAGCAATAAACACAACACCAGATCAGCAAGTTATGTAAAGAGAAAACATGCAGGACATAATTCTATCTCTTGTTATATCTCTTTCTGGATTTCCCCTCATCAGCAACATCAAATCTGAGATGCAATTCTTAACCAGCAACAGCTCCAACTGTCAAGCACACAGATGCTCTGACATTATTTTGGGTGAAATGGTTCAATTTACTGAAGCAAATAATTGCAAAAAAATGTGCATTCTGTATCATATGTAAATAGATATTTGAATTCAGGCTAGAGAGGAGGGAGAAGAAATAGTATCATAAAGCACAGAAAGTACTTGGGAGCCACACTGATGTCAGCTGCACTGCTTGTGCTCAGCTCTATGAACAAATGGTTTTAGGGAGTGAGAGGGAGCTACAGTTCTTTGAAGATATTTAAGACTCAGTCTACAAATATTAGTGACACACAGGATTCATATTTATCTTCTCTTAGACCATGCAAATTGTCAAATTTATAAATCATAGCAATTTTTACTTAGAAACACCTAAGAAATCTAATGTTTGACATTAGATTATTATTGACATTAAAAACAAAATTATTGACAATCAAGCAAAAATATTTTACTGACTGCTGTCTTGTGGCCTCTTACCTTGGCTCAGCAGAGAACCAAATGCTAAAGTTTCAGCTGTTGCCCAGTCCAGTTTTTTTCCTTCCTCCATTTTTTGAATTCTTGACTAAGCAAATAAAGAAGAAGAAAAAAATACTATTTTGTCTTTTTCCATCTGTAGCTTTTTTGGTGGCACAGACTAATATTAGAAGCTAGGGAAAAAAGCAACACACTACAGAGAGAAATGCTTTATTCCTTCAGCCAGCTTAGGCTGCATTAGAATACAGAGTCTTATTTCAGCACATCCTGAAGAAGGACCACAGAACCATAGGTGATCCATGTGTTCACCTCCCAGTCAATAAACTGTGGACTGATTAAGTAATCCTAGTCAGAGAATATGAAAAATCTTAGCACAGCACAGAGTGTAGTCTTGACAGACTTCTGGTCTGTCTGGTTAGCAGTGATGAAAGATACCAGGTGTAAGTATTTCAGTCTCCAGAACTTCCCTGTTCTGGCCTGCAGAACTGCAGACAAATGATCAAACTGAGCTGTGGAGTTCTTGCCTTGGGCTGGGAAGACAAAAACATCAGTCTTTTGAAATACTCAACTCACAGCCTCTCTCTGGCTGCCAAGCAGACACCTGCACACACTCATCATTCATCAAAGGAAAACATTCACAAACCCCAAGCTGATCCAAACCAAACATCAGCTTAGGAGCTATCAAACCCAGACTGTCAAACTAGGCCACATGTTGTGTAGTGTTTATATATATATAAGTTATAAAACACTCACTACTGGCTTTAGAAACTGTGTACACTATTGCCAGGTTCCTTTACCTGAGTCATTCCTTTACCAAGTACTCATTCTAATTACTAACTATATAAATGTTAGTAACTTATCATAATAGTTTCTTTCTATTTGTAAGAATAATAAACTGTGTTTTCTATAAGTTTTTTTCTTCATTGCAATAAAATATTGTTGAAATAACAAACTAAAGTACATGGTCAGACCTGGGTGAAGAAGTCTTTCTTCAAAACTGGAGGAAAAATGGCATAATCTCAGCCTTGAAACAGAGTGAGCTGATTTTCCTAGAGAATACCACGCTGTTCTCTAACTGGCAACCCTGCTGTGTTTAGACTTCTTCCTGTAACAGGTTTGAGCCATGGGATCAGAAGTATCATGATCTCTACTCACCTGAGCATAGGTCTTCATGAGATGGCTGTGCATCTGGAGCTCTTGGGGCACCTCCACAGACTTGGCTCCAATGAACTGCAGCAGAGGCACAGGCATGCCAGTGTCCCAGGTGCTGATTGTGGCAGAAGGCTCCACGAAGCCTTTCCAGTGAGCCTGCAGGTTGGTAGGGGGTGGGCTGTATGAAGTCATGTTGGCAAGGTGATCATTCAGCTTGGAATAGCACGTGGTCTTTATCTCAGACACTTCAGCCTCAGTCATGAGCCCAGCAGCCGTGAGGTGTTCTGCGTACGTGTCCGGGATACTCTTACGGGATCTGCCAGGGAGGGAATCAAACCACACAGATACTAAACCTGAAACCAGTGTCACAGGAGAACAAGGAAATACCACCTTACTACAGTCAGGTACCATGGAAAACTCATATAAATGGTGTCCTGGTGCATTATACTCATTTGCATGAAGTTCAATTTCCTGGCATTTTCAAAAAGATAACAGTTCTCTCAGGGATTTGTTTTATAGTCCTTTATTTAAAAAGTGAAAGTGCTATAGTTGGCAGTTACAGGTAAAAACAAGTCAAAATCCCCTTGTCATTGTCATATTTTCTGAAAAATTTCTTTGCCCAGGATTTCTTCTCCTGGGAAGCTGAGAAGCCTCAGAGAAAAATGTAAACAATAATTATCTGATTTGCTTCTCCTGTGTTTTGCTGCTTTGGAGATTGTTTACCAACAGGTGCATGTTTCATTGTTTGCATGTGAATTGTTTTTACTTATTGGCCAATTATGGACTCTGGAAGAGAGAGTCACGGGTTTTCATTAGTATTCTTAGTAACCTTGTGTCTATATCCTTTCTCTATTCTTTTAGTATAGTTTAGTATAGTTTTAGTATAGCATTCTTTAATATAATATAGCATGATAAAATACTAAATTAGCCTTCTAAGAACATGGAGTTGATTAATCAATTTCCTTCCTTTGACGGGGACCCCAGAAACTACCACACCCCCTCTGTGCTACCATGAGTATTCTCTTCAGAGAAATTCACAGTAGGATTTCTGCATTGGAGAGAATCAAGGCAACCATTCCATAAACGCTTCACCTAAAATACCACAATTCTCTGGCAACTGAATTTTTTTTGTGTTTTTCTTCAGGGATAAGGATGGAATCTGAATACTTTAAAATGCTGATAAAGATGAGTCCCCACTGGAAACAGCAGGACAAGGCAAAGACAAGACAAGCATCACACTGGCTTCCTGCCCATTCTCCCACAGCATGCACGCTTCCCCTTGGCACACAGAAGGCAACTTTGCCCTCTGATTACCAGTGGTGACAAATTTGAAATCCAAGAGCTATGTCCAAGATTGTTCTCCAAAAAGCACCAAGACACACATTCAAGAGCCAACAGTAATGATTGCTCATTAACATCTTATTATCAGACTCACACTGCAGTCAAGGGCTGCTGACAGTCCAGCTGCACCTTACATAAAGACCTGTGGATATATCAAAGGATCTCACACCGAGACTTCTGTTGCAGCAGTAAGACTTGAGGTGGTGCAGACATATTTTGGTGGTGCAAGCCTTACCTGATGATTTTGTACATGCTGGGGTTGGTGAAGAAGGGCTCATCAAGCTCATTGTGGCCCCACTGCCTGTAGCACAGCAAGTCCACAATGACGTCCCTGCGGAACTGGCGCTGGTACTCCACAGCCAGTCGTGTGGCACGGACAACTTCCTCAGGATCATCCCCGTTCACATGGATAACTGCACATCCAACGATTTTACCTGCCCAGGGATCCAAAACACAGCTGCAGTCACACCCAACCCCTTCCAAAGGAAGCAGACACACACCTGCTCTGCTGAAAGTACAGACAACCCATTTGAAGTAAGTATATTAAAAAGAAATAAAAAGAAGATGTTCTTTGTGATGAGAGCTGGGGTAGGGAGAGGAGTCTTGCCTGAGAGAACATGCAATTAGCCCAACCTACTGTATTTGTCAGTTTGAGCACAACTTCTTTACGAGCACTTTGTTCCCAGAGGACTTTCTACACACAGTTCCTGCATCATATTAATCTGGTAGTGTACAGGAACGTGGAGAGAACTACTTGATTGCTTCTCTTTCAAACAGAAATTGAGTTTTGCTTCCTTCTTATCCTAAGCTATCACTACCATGAATTCATATAAGCCAAAAGCAATTTTCTCCCTTATTAGTAGGGAGTATCACTCTATCCACTGCTCCTCCAGGCAGAAAAATCTCTTCATTAAAGAGAACATGGTAAAATTTCAAGATCTTAACACCCTCTCCTGTATAACAATTTGGCTGCAAGCAACAGTGCTCCTTTTGTACTTTATCTGTCCAAATTCTGGAAACTAAGATACTTCAGCCATTCCTGGCTCATGTCAAGTTTTCCTCCCTAGCAAAATACTAAAGCTCAGCTATATTACAGCCCCTCCTCACTGACAGGTAAGAAGAAAGGAAAACTAAGGATGGAGGCAAAAAACCAACCTAAACAAAAACAATCCATAACACAAAACCAGCCCAGGCAAAACAATAACATATGCTATCTACCTTACCAGATTTAATGAATCTACTTGTTTGGTTTGATGAAACCATATGACAAACACTTGATGTTAGGTCAAAAGCATACAAAAGTATATTTTTACTTACAGGAGACATATACAAGATAACTAACTACTATGTCTCTGATCTTACTGGTAATACATCTGTTTATCACTAAGAAAAATCAGTCCAAAATAAAGCTTCTAGTTCAGGCATAGAAAGATCTTGAGCTTCATCCTTAAATTGAAAGCTCAACAGGTTCACATGACAACAAACAAAACAGAAAAAATGGAGGAGTATCTGACGTAAAAATCTTGCTTAGAAAACACACAGATGATTTTTATGAAATTTAACAAGAGATATTTAAAATAAATCTCCATATTAAAATATATACTCCATTGCAATACCTTTCTAAAAGCTGTCAATGATATGACAGAAACTGAGTTATAAACACTTGACAGAAATCAAATCTTGCAATTATTTTATCACATCCTGTAAAAATGTGACAAGATTTTCCCTTCATATTTAGTCTTTGCCATAAAGCAGATAGGGGAGGGCATATTTTTAGATCTGAATTGTTGCTAGTAGGAGGGAATAATAATAATAATAATAATAATAATTTTAATTCCTACTCTACCATGAAACTGGAGTTACAATAATCTCTCCCTAGAGCTGACAGGCAGTTGCTATAAAAAGTCCATTGCAAAGCTTACACTGCAGTTAAAAATCCTTTCTGACACAACAGGCAATCTTCCTTGTGATTCAACCCTACCTACCAATGTCACTGCAGTACAGAGATGACCTTCCTCTCTCTGGAGGAGTGGTATAGCCCAGCTGGTTATTAACAATCAAATGGATGCTCCCACCAACTCTGAAATGCGGTAGATTAGAGAGGGTCAATGTTTCAGGAACAATCCCTTGCCCAGAGAAAGCAGCATCACCATGAACCTACACGAGGGAAGAAAATGGAAAAGTCTCATTAGGAAACACCGGAGGAACAGCAAAATCAAAACCATAACTCATTAAGTAAGACCTCCTAAACTGGGTACATGGAACAGACACAGTTCCAGCTGGACCCACTTCTTAATCCCTCTCAGAATACTGTTTCCACGACTTGAGAGTTTAAACAGCCTTATCACTAACACAAGGTCACAGCAGCCAACATGAATGCCTGATGTAATCCCTCCCTGGAACTGACCTATAATCTCTTAAAACTGACCCACCAGTGTCCAGGTGACTGCAAGCTTCCTGGCTATGGCAAAGGTGCAGCAGTCAGAGGCAAGCCACTGACCCCTGAACGAAGGGAGCCACTCACCACAGCATTCACTACGCCATGGCTGAAGTTGAATGTTGGTGAACAGGGACTTATGCCCACTTCCACCTTACCAAACAGACAAGAACAGAAAAAGAAGTGGAAGCACTCCAAACAAAAAACTTTCAAAAGGAAATAAAATCTAAGTTCTTAGTTACATTTCTAAATAGCAATAGCAAATAAATACTGCAAATAAAAAAATAGTTTGGAAGAAGAAGGGAGAATACTGTGATAGCCAACCCAGGTTTCCAACAAAGGCTAGAGGCACTGGAGTGAGTATCATCTAACATTTCAATGTTTTGAAATTGGAGACAGTTCTCCTTTGATGAAGATGACGACAGTTTCCTCAGAATGCAGACTCAGTCATTTGCAGATTAAAGTCACTATGCAGATTGATGTACTTCCTTACTGAAACCAAATGACAGTTCTGCTTTCTAGCTGTGGAATAGGGGTTTGAAGCCTTAAGAGACTTCTGCCAGTACACCAAGATAACAGAGGTACAATCATCAGTGAAATGGCAGCACTGGGTATTCCAATACAGATTTTTAAGAGGTATCACAGCAAAACAAAGGTAACTACTGCAAGAGAGAAGCCAGCATCCCCACTCTATCCCTTACCATGCTACACTTGCTCCTGAAGTGTTGGGTTTTCACCTTTCCCTCCTGGTTTCTTCTGCTGCCTAAGAAGGCTACATATCTCAGTGACAGCATTTGAGTGAAGACCCTAAAACACCTGAGAAAGCTTTATGACCTTTAGCACATCCCAAAGCATTAAAGCCTAATGAGAGTGTGACTATCCAATGACACAAGACTGTTCATATGCATCTCAAACCCCAGAGTATTCAATTCCTGTGGTGCAGGTATGATTTTACTCATTCTACCAAAAATATGGAGACAGTTTTTGCTAGGACACATTTTTCTCTGGTCTGCATTAGGAAAAAGCTAAAAGAAGACCTTCAGACCCTGGAAAATGAAGCTCACCACTGACAATGGCACCTTAACTGATCTTTAATCATTCTGCCCTCAAGCTCTGATACTGAGGTTTGTGGAAGAAGAGAAAAAATGCCAGTGTAAACCTCAATTCAGAGTTCAGAGTGTCTACAATGACATTTCTCAAGAGAAAGCACTGTAAAACCAGAAAGTTCAAAGTCAAACCCCCAAACCAAGATTCTGAAACACAAGGTGCCTGCTTTCATCTCTTTCTTCTCAATTAGTTGAATGAAAGCAGTTAACAGCTGGAATCAAAAATATGCCTGCTTCCAATTTCACTTGCGTACCTCTTAAAGACACTATCACAAGTAATGGTGATACATTTTCTTCCTTTTAGGAATACTTTGAATCAGTTGACTAACCTGGAGGTGTTTAGCATAGAATCAAATGTATCTCTTCTCCCCTAAGCAGTCCTCCCTGTCACTTACCCCCACAAATCCTAAGTGAAATTTTTCTTGGATAGGGAGGGTCCATTTATCCTGAAGAATCGTTGTTTAGAGTCATAGTACTTTCATTACTACATGGTGAAGATCTACCATTATGAGACAGAAACAATAGTATCTTCTCAAACTCAGAAATAACTGCACTGAAAGATGGAAACATATTGGGAAGCAAAAGTTGGCTGCACTTGCAAGCTCTAAAGACTTTCTTTTAATAAAAAACTAAGAACCCCAACTTGCCCAGAATATTTTGTATTCTCACGACTGCTTTTTCACAATATCCCACCCTTCCAGAAGAAAACAAAATATCTTTTTAACTGAAACGTTTTCACTCCTACATGTAGCTTCCTCCATGTTTGTTGTACTTTTCAGAACATTTCTGCCCAACTTGTTTTTACTTCTGGCCTTAAAATGTATAGAGTTCAATTCAGTTGTTTTTCCAAGTTCAAGTCAATGCAAGACAAGAAAATTTATCAAGGAACTGTTTAGGATTGCCCCTACAGCTATACAAGTCACTTCAAGGAGTAAAAACTAATTCCAGCAGAGTCTTCAACAGTACCATGACAAAATAACAAAATTCTAAATCCTCCTGAACATTTTGCAGCCTTGTTGACAGCTCTTCTCCAAACCCACTAATTTGAAAGAAAGCTTCCAGTGACACTTTAAATGCAAAAGTGAGGAAAGGCACACATGGCTCTCAATACAGAATATTATTAAAATAAAGGGAGGTATCAGAATCAGTATTCAGAAATCTTAGAAGTGCAATTATTTAAATGCCAGCATCATCACAAACGCCACCTGGAGATCTTCCTAGCACTCCTCTTTCTCCATAAAGAAGATCCCAGCTCTTGACATCTCAGTTTTGTTTGATATTTCTATGTACACTCCTGTTCACATTCTAGTCCAGCAAGTCTTACAAATATAAATTACAATAGCTGAGCAAAATACCTGCAGGCAAATAACTTTGTCCCCAGGCTGTGCAGAACTCTCTGGGGAGTAATCGCCATCGAGCAGAGTCTGTTGCCTGGCTCGTGTCTTGCCCACAGCCACTGGGTTGATGGCTTCTAAGTGTGAGGGGTTGGGGAGCAAGGTGACATGCACGGGTCTGTGGGAACCGAAGTCCAGATCTACAGAAGATGTCAGGTGGGAGAGAACGTCCCCAATGGCTGCTGAATTCTCTGGAAACTCACTCAAACCACGCATCTTGCGGAACATGAGCTGCAGGGAAACAGATTTGGTTAAAAACCTTTTCTGATTCACTGATACATTGAAAGAAAAACTCTCTCCTACCCCTGAAATTGCAATGATGCTTCAAAGTAGCAGAACATAAAACCATTCATTAGAGTTCTTTTAACAGTCTTCTGCAGACAGTTCACTGAATGTTGATAGGAAGGGAGAACACTCTCACACAGGTAACATTTTATTGCTCCAGCACTCAAAACACGGCAAACTTTTGGGGGTTTACTTTACTGCAAATAAACCAGGCAACTGCCTGTGAGATTATAAATCTCTTACTGTCTTAGGTTGCAAGATGCAGCTGGACGTGTGTATTCAATTGGCATCTGTTAGAGGTGGGGCAGCTATCTTCTGTTAATTAGGCTGTCTGTTAAAAGCAGGTGGGACAGTTTTCTTTATCTCTTCCATAATCAATCCTCCCTCCAGGAGATAGCTGCTGTTAATGGGCCAGTGAATGTCCCAGCATGGCAGATAAAATTACATCACCCCACTGGGAGATGCTCCACCCAGGGGGAGGAGCCAAGAGTTCCTACCTAGATATAATCTGATATTTGGAACAACACAGGCAGCCTTTTCCTACTGGATTCCCAGAGGAGCAGCTTTCTTCTCCCCTACATTCCCAGAGGAAGAACAGGCCCATCCACACTACCAACTGAGAAGGGAAGACTTAGCCACACCCAAAGATCTGAGCCAACTGCTTGTTGAGCAATATTCAGTTCTAAGGAATAATGTATACAAAACTGGTCACATATAATGGCAGTTTTTTTTCTGTCAGGGTTAACTTATATACTCTTAGTATAGTTGTGGTCATACTGAAATTAAAGTAGAGCACATCAGGGTCCCAATATCACCCTCCTGTGTCACCATGAAATTCCTCTAACTGCCAAAGAGGCCACAGAAAATACAAAGTGGGCTATATACTTCCGTTCAGTCATTGGTAAATATTACATTTAACACTCCTTCCACTTGGAAAACTGGAAACAGGGACACTTTCACAGATCCTGCTCTTCTACCTTTCCAACCTTCACAGATCCTGCTCTTCTACCTTTCAATCATTCTGGATAAAATACAAAGAAAAGGGGAAAAAATTAAAACTTTTCACAGTACAGAAGTATTGGAATAAATTTTCTCCATACATTTCAAAAGTGCATAAATATTTCACTTCCTTATAGAAGGCATTGAACAAAGGTTCCTTGCTGAAAAGCACCAATGCTATATGATACCAACTCAGCCCAACTCTGATTTGTTCTTCTAAAACCTTGAGGGACAGCATATTTTAAGGACAGTAAAACAGAGCAGCATGAGGGTGAGAGGAAAACACAGAACAGCTAAGCTAGAGCACAAGATTTCACGGAGCTCTGCTCAACCTTATGGTCCCATCAGTAACATTTAATATGAGCTGTCAGATCATTAATCTAAGAGTGTCTCACTTTTGAAGACTGATTATTCACGGGTTTATAGCATCATTATTTCAGTAATGGCTGGTAAGTTAATTCAGCAACAAACTCCAATGAGATTCCTCCATTGCATTGCATTGCTTCAGACAAAGCCTTATACTTCTTCCTCCTGCACACTGTCAAAGCCTTTCAGGACAGTGATTGTTCTTTTTCTGCATGAATCGTGTCCAGAATAGTAAAGGATGCATGACAGACTTCAGGACTATTACAATCCAGTAACAGAGAACAAAGTACCTGGGACTCCAGCATCAGTTTGCACAAGTGCTTTTTCTCTTCAGGTGTAAATGCTTCTTGCTTTAGCTCTTCAAACCTTTTAGCAAACCATTCTCTCTCCTCCAAAGTTGGAAGCTGGCTTGTTTCTATGGAAATATGCCCGCAGTATATATGGTCAAGGTAAGCCATCACATCCTCTACAGAAGCCTCCTCTTTTCCCATGTTTATAAGTCCTGGTGGGAAATAAATGTTATTTAGTCACTTTGGGGGAGGAGGGGAAGCACTAAGGCCTGTTTTGGAGAAAATAAGCAATGAGAGAGACCCCCCCTCCTTTGTTTAAGGCTGCAGCAAGGCTCTAAGAGAGACAAGAAAAGACAATTCTTGACTTCTGCCCCTGTACTTTCAAACCTTCACTACAGCGTTAAGTATTGTGGTAAATCATAGAATGTTACAGTAACACAAAAAAGTAATGTTTAACCTCAGTAGCTGTAAGAACAAGCACAAATTTTCATGATTTCTGAAGATGCTAGAAGGCAGCCTCTCACTGCAGTATGACTTCTGCAACAGACATATGTATGCTGAAGTTGACAATTTTCTGTCCAACAGTTTTCATCACTGACTGAGACACCACTCAATATTTGACTCTTCCACAGAGGCCACAGCCCCTCAATAAATCAGCCATGAACAGAATTTGCTGTGATAAGGCTGTGGACTCACCTGTAGTAACGAGAGGACCCTGAAGAACTTCAGCCAGCTCTTGGATTTCAGGTACCATGTTCATAACAGCTCGGCCAGCAAACAGTGGGTTTATTTTGGCTGCTTTGTGGCCATGTTCAGCATAGGCAGTTATTAAACGAGCAAGAGCATGGTCAACTAAAACCAAAAAGAAAGCAGAACAGTATCACACACATGCTCAGATTAAATCCACTTACAGCACCAACACAGGAATGTTTTGTCTGCTGGCAAACATCAAGGTTCTGGCTGGAAAGAGAACTTTTTAATGCAGTTATTTCTACCTTATTACCCCACAACAGCTCCCATCAGCAAATTGCTAAATCTGCTCCCCAAATCAATTTTCAAGCAAGTACACTCTAGATTTCCCCCACAGTTTCCCTCATAGGTTAGGCTCCTGTAAAAATATGTAAAGCTACTTCATTTTGCTTTAAATCTCTTTGCAACAGTAGTGAACCGAAACCACTACAAACAGGTATGTTCAAGTCAAGATCAGTACATTACCAGTGTATAGTCTTATTTCCTAAGCCAACTTAATCCTATCACTTATGCTTCCTTGTTCCTTGCTGGAATGACAGGAGGATTGGGTCTTAACAATAATTCAGGTCCCGTGATTTCAAAAAAATCCAAGTCTGTCTGCAGGAGCCAAGAGCATGTGCTGAGCCAAATGTGGTCAAAATTATCAACATGGGCAGAATTTGACCAGCTGGGAGATCAGACGCATGTTATTGTCACTGAGCACAGCCACAGACCAGGCTGATAAACTGCAAACAATAAAACATACTGCAAGCACAGCCTGCTACAAATTAATGACATGAACCTGCTTATAAAGCATTCCTAATGTGGACGGGGTTTTCATCCTGGTAAAAACACAGCACCGACAGTAGTCAGGTCTGAAGGCTTTTGTTTTCCAAAAACAATTCTCAGACCATAGCAGAAGGTTATTTCTCTGACACTTGTCAGCCCATTCAAAACAGCCCCTTTTCTCTACTGAGTTCTACAACAGAGGGACATAAGGCTAACAGTGCCCACAATGCTCTCAACAAGGAGGCCGTTTAAACGCAATTTTCAAAATGTTACATAAAAATATGTTAATCATTAACAAGGAGGCTACTTTGTGATGGGCCTCGGTGTCCAGGAGCTACAAACTGGTTTCACTCCTGCTCCTGGGCAAAGGATTTAATTCCTACCAGTCGCCAGAGTAAAGTTAATGCAAGCACCACACTCCTGTCTAGAAGAGTTTTCTGCTTGAAATCACCTTTCTGTAAAATGGAGCTAAAAGCAACACAGGGCTGCTGCAGGAAAGAGTTACGGGTATTTAATCATGGAATCCTAGAATGTTAACGGGTTGGAAGGGACCTTATAGACCATCAGGAACGAACCCCCCTGCCGTGGGCAGGGACACCTCCCACTAAACCAGGCTCCTCAAAGTTTTATCCCATCTGGCTTTGAACACAGTCAGGGTTGGGGCATCCACCACCTCCCTGGACAACCTGTTCAGTGCCTCACCGCCCTCAGTTCGGCTAGCCCAAGCCTCAGGATACAAAAGGAGAATGACAGGTAAAAGTACTTCTATGAGCCTCAGAACTCTCCGAGAGCCCATCGCTGAGCAAACTCCAGCAGTCGGTGCTCTCACAGCCGCTCCAGCCCGTGGAGCGGAGCCAGGCACCCCTGCCTTGCAGAAACCACAGCCGAGAGCTCTCGGGGCGGCTGCTCCGCTCTCTGCCCCGCCGGGACCAACACACGCCACACCTCAGAGCGCCCGCTCCGTGCTCGGGCCCCCATGGCCGCGCTGCCCCCGCCGCCGCCACCGCCCCCGGACCCGCCCCGAGCCCCGGGGGCGGCGCCCGCAGCGGGGCCCCTCAGGGGCTCCTGCCGTGCCGGACGGAACGAGGAGGCACATGATGTTCTGGGCTCCAGCGAGGCAATCTGGAGTGCTGTGCCCAGTTCTGGGCTCCCCCGCACAAGGGACACGGGGAGCTGCTGCTGAGGGTCCAGCGGAGCCGCAGGGGTGAGGAGGCCTCTGGAGCTTCTCTCCTGTGAGGAGACTGCGGGAGCTGGGCCTGGGCAGCCTGGAGAAGACTGGGAGGAGATTTTATAAATGCATATAAATGTCTCAAAGGTGGGTGCCAAGAAGTTGGTGCCAGACTCTGCAGTAGTGCCCAGCAACAGGACTAGGAGCAATGGCCATAAAATAAAACCCAAGAAGTTCCACCTCAACACGAGGAAGAACTTTTTGTTGGGAGTGGCAGAGCACTGGGACAGGCTGCTCAGGGATGTTGTGGGATGTCCCTCTGTGGAGACATTCAGAACCCACCTGGATGTGTTCCTGCATCAGCTGCTCCAGGTGACCCTGCCTTGGCAGCGGGGTTGGGCTGGATAATCTCCAGAGGTCCCTTCCAACCCTGCTCTGGTGAGACCCCGCCTGCAGTGCTGCGTCCAGCTCTGGGATCCTCAGCACACGAGGGACATGGCTCTGCTGGAGCGAATCCAGAGGAGGCCACCAAGATAATTAGAGAGGTGGAGCACCATTCCTGTGAGGAAAGGCTGAGGGAGTTGGGATTGTTCAGCCTGCAGAAGAGAAGGCTTCCAGGTGACTTAATTGCAGCCTTCTTGTACCTGAAAAGAGTCTGCAAGAAAAGATGGAGATGGATTTTTTACAAGAGCATGTAGTGACAGGACAAGGAGGAATGGCTTCAAACCAAGAGTGTAGGTTTAGATTGAGTATTAGGAGGATGTTCTTTGCTGTGAGCAGGGTAAGGTACCACAACAGGCTGTGCAGGGAAGTTGTGGATGCCCGACCTGGGGATGTGTCCAAGGACACATTGGATGGAGCTCTGATCATCTTTGGAATAGTGGAAGGTGTCCCTACCTGTGGCAGGGCGTTGCACAAGATATTCTTTAAATGTCCCTTCCAATCTCAACTTTTCTGTGATTCTGTAAACTTTGTGTGAATGCAGGTCTGTGGTACTGGCAAGTTCCCTGTCCATAGGCTTGGCTGTGTTCCTGTAGCCATCACAATGAGGAAATCAAAGAGCATTTTTTGTCCAAATCAAACCATGGTATTTGCCTTTGGAACAGGTGGGACTGGATTTCAGAACTGAATCAGTTCTGACACCCCAGTTGGTCTGGGATTTTATGATATTCACAGTCCTTGCAGAGGGGCCACTTGTGTTCCTTAAGGCCTGCATGGTTGGGTTTATGCATATTTATAAAATCCAATGTGGGAGAAAAATATAAAAATAAATGACCTTTAATGCTGCAAAGAGGGCAGTGACAGAAGGACAGTGGACATGTGGTCCATACAGTGAACTGTAGTAGAAATGTGGCTGTGAATATTCATATTTTTTTCAATTAGAATGAAGAAACCTTAAAAATAATGCTGCAAGATTATGTGATTTTTTTTGAAGCTGACAGTGGAGATGGAGAAAACGTTGATGTAGTTAAATATTTCCATTCTGCGCTTGGGGAAAAAGACAAATGTTGCAGGCAGATTGCAGGATGATGAAATACTTTTCCACAGTTCTTAAGCAAATACCAGTCAAACAGCAGATATCACTGTGGTTTTGCTTTGAATCATATAGGCAGTTAGTTGAGTATTTCCCAATTAGCACGGATAGGAATAGGTTTGAACACTAAAAATTTTCCAGCTTCTCCAATGAGATGTTTCAGACAAACAATGTGGATCTCAGAGAACTAGCTGAATATTTGTATATATAAGTTCACTTAATAGAAGTTTAATAAAGTCTAAGCAGGTGTTTATGAAATATATATCTCATCAAGTCAACTTGTTTGGGTTTTTATGTGAATCAAAATCCAGTTAATAAAGATTTAAAGCACTTTACAGATTTGCCAACATAATCATCTTGTGTAGGACGTGATTACATGTGACAAAAGCATTGCTGTGGCTGTATCTAGGTCAAGGAAAGGTTTTGTTGACTTTGATTCATGTCTAAATGTGAGAAGGTGATACCTGTGCCAGCAGAAACACCACTGCTGAGGGCGTAGGCAAAGTGACTCTCCCAGCCTGGCTCTTCTGGTGCAAAGCCTGTCCTAGAGAAGGCTCCTGTGTGAGGTTCATTCTGTACATAATGCTCTCACTAAAAATACTAGAAATGCCCAAAACCAAGGCTGTACATACTAAATAGTAAGTGTCTGACTACCTGGCAGCATAGAAAATCAGCAGCACTGGGAATATTTCTAAAGGAATTATCCCCCTTGCTACTTTAGTAGTTAGATCAACCCAGAAAAGCTTGAGTGCTGATGAAGTTTGTCAGCTGGAGGTAAGTGGTGAGGTTACCTTGAATCTGAGAGTCAAGATGTAGATAAGCAAACACAACTTATTTTAACAGGATGAGGTGAAAGCTTGCACATATTCAAAGAGTATGTGCACTAAAATGTAGCTCCTTTCCAGGAAACAGTGGCTATAAATAATCTCCAAAAATCATGAGAAAAAAGCAGGTGGGTCTAAAAAAATTATGTGAATATCCACTCACTTGGAAAAGAAGATAATTTGCTGGATTTGGCTGCAAGGAAATATAGAGGACACCTACAGATTCTACATTAGGCCAGTATTTGGCACAATTTAAATACTGTGTGCATGTTTGGTGCCAGTAATTGAGGAAATATATAAAAAATTTGGGAAGAAGAGCTTCAGGAATTAAAAAAAAAATACATGCTTTATGTCTGAGATTTATGAAACATCAGCTACCTGGTTTTGGTTTTGGTAAATCAGTACAAAAGCTGGATTAGTATGTGCACAAATGAAACTTTAGAAGGAAAAGTTTTCTGAAGTTTGCTTGCATGGCCTTTACAAGAGAGAGCTCCAACAAAATTGTAGATGTGGGAGTGTGGTATAAACACCAAAGGAGATTTTGCTTTCCTTTCAAAACTGTAGTGATTGTGCTTTTTGTTCATGTTGGAAAGGACAGCAACATCGTGCTTCGGAAGAAAATAAGCCAACATCTCTTGATGTAATGCCACTGATACTTAACCCAAGTATAACCCAATTCCCCCTAAAAAGAGTAATCCAAAGGCACCCACTGACAGGCCAAAGGATTGGTGCCTCTGGAAAATAAAGTGCCAACACTTGGCACTTTATTTTCACCCACTTTTTACTATGTTCTGCCATGGATCTTCTCCACTCCAGTGAATCAGTTTAATCAGCTTGGTAGTTTAAGATATTTTGGCAAGCAAATGAGATTTTTGTGAGCAGGAACATGTGCATGATCTGTGTCAATAACAAGCACGACTCCATCCTTTCAACCTTGTCCAGAAAGAGATTTTTAGATATGTCTGCAAATACACCCAGGCCTGTGCCTGCTGTCAAAGTCCAATATTGCTGAAGGGTCGTTCCAAGCCCAGAGTGTAAAGGCTTTCCCAACCTAAACATTTCTGTCAGAACCTGGATTCAAAATGTAAAATAAACACCAGATTCTCACTCTGCAGCTCTGGGCTGTGCCAGCTTTTTCCAGCTTAGGCAGCTCCAGAGTTGCCCAAGAGGTGATACTGTGCCCAGAACTGCAGGCAGAGAGCCTTTCCAACAAATCTGGGAGTTCCACCAAATTCACCACTGTAAAATATCCTCAGATGTGCAGGTGGGGACAGTGACTGGACTAGAGGGCAGAGAGACCAAATTTAGACTAGGAAATAATGACAGAATCACAGAATGGATGGGTTTGGAAGGGACCTCTGGAGATCATCCAGTCCAACCCCCCTGCCAAGGCAGGGTCACCTGGAGCAGGTGACACGGGAACACATCCAGGTGGGTCGTGAATGTCTCCAGAGGGAGCCTCTGAGAGCAGCCTGTCCCATTGCAATCCTCAATGTAAAGTTCTTCCTCATTGGAGGTGAAATCTCTTTGTTATGTTACATTTTATGGCCATTGCTCTGTCACTCAGCACCACTGTGATGAGCAAAGCACCTCTTGGCACCTGCCTTGGAGACATTTACTGGCATTCATGAAATGCCCTCTCAGTCTTCTCTTCTCCAGGCTGCCCAGGCCCAGCTCCCGCAGTCTCCTCACAGGAGAGAAGCTCCAGAGGCCTCCTCACCCCTGCGGCTCCGCTGGACCCTCAGCAGCAGCTCCCCGTGTCCCTTGTGCGGGGGAGCCCAGAACTGGGCACAGCGATGGACGCCCGAGAAACCACCCCGAGGCAGTAATTTGGTGTTCAGACGCTGTCGCGCCAATGTTTTATCACGGTGACACCGGAGGGCCCCACCCGCGGCATGACGGCTGCCGTGACGCCCGGCGGGCACAGACACGTCACCGCAGTGACGTCACGCCGCCCCATAAGCCGAGTCGTGCGCTGAGGCCACCAAGGAAGTGACATTCGGAAGCTATTTTCCCCTTTCCCGCCGCCGCGAGGGACGCGGGGCCGAACACTTTTCCTCTTCCATTCCCACTCTCGTTCCCGTTCCTCTTCCCCGTTCCGCCTCCGCGCTCCCGGTAACCCGTCCGCCGCCAGGACCCCGCGCGGGGCTGCCCTCCGCGCTGCCTAACCCCCGCCCCTCGGGAAGCGCCGCTCCGCGCCGCCCGCAGCCGCGGCTCTGCCGCCGTGAAGCGGCGCCGCTCCTCCCTTCGCGCCCGGGCGTGGCGGGGCG